AGTCACATAGTGGTGCTTCTGGCCAGACGCGGCCCCTCGGCGGTGTCCTTGTGCTGGTTGTGCCAGCCAGGATGCCGCCTCAGCAAAAGAGCCATCGTGGGGTTTTCCGTTGGATGGTAAGCTCATCGGACTGTAGAAGCTTTTGCTTAAGTCTGCTTTTCCTACCTGACATGTCGCCCTTTACTGAAAACTACACAGCAAGTTGGTGTAAAGTCCGTCTTCTCAGAGAAGCTGTGGGAAGTAGCATTTCTGTGAAGGGAGCCTGGAACTTGCTGCGGGACTGTGGCTGACCCGCTCCCCACCAACACTGCCCAATCTGCCGCCTTTCAGGATGGAAGTCTGCAGTGCCCTTCCTGCAAGACCATCTATGGAGAGAAAACTGGGACCCAGCCCCGGGGGAAGATGGAGGTGTTCAGGTTCCAGGTGTCCCTCCCCGGCCACGAGGACTGTGGGACGATACTCATAGTTTACAACATACCTCACGGCATCCAGGTAAGGGTGACCCCCGCCCAAGAGGAGCCTCCTCGGGCCTTTCCAGAGTCAGCCCCTCTCCGGCTCTCCCCCTCCTACCCTCGCCCAGCCGTCCACCCCCAGTGGCTACCAAGAGGCCCACATGCCCAGTCTCAGGCTCCCAGTTCCCCTAAAGGCCTGAGCCAGGGAGGGCCATGAGAGGATAGTACTTGGCACAGGGGCAAGCAGAGATGGCCCAGCCCTTTCCAGAGCCAGGGAGGGCTTTCTGGAGGAGGAGGCATCTTAGTTGGGGACTTGTATTGGACAGAACAAGCAGATAAACGGGAAGAACGCTGTGTTGTTTAACTGGGGAGTCCATGGGTGTGATGGGCATTGAGAAACCCGCCAGATATCAGAACATGGGGTGACAGTGTGCCAGCATCAAGTGCTGGCAGGGACCCCGGTTTTGTTTTTATTCCTAAATACTTACTTTGTTGTTGTTATGAATATACACAGCAAAGCAAACACCAGTTTAACAGTTTTTACATGTACAAGTTAGTGACTTTGGGCACATTCTTCAAGCTGTGCAACCCTTCTCACCCCACTTCTCTTGAGTTATTCCTCTTGAATGAACACAAACTCTGTGCCCTGTGAGGCTCCTTTCTACTCTTTCGAGGTACTGTTGTCGGTTTGATCCCAAGTGGGTATTTCTTAAAGAGCGTTACGTTTGAGGCAGGACTTCGCTAGTTAAGCACAATTCTTGTTCGGTTTTAAGATGACTTCAGGGCATATTTTTGGCTTAAGGTTGAAAGATCAGTTTTAGAGCAGTAGTTTCAGGAGTGCATCCACCCTCTGTGTCTCTGTCCAAGTCTAGAGGCCGTGAGAATTTGAAATTTTTTTCTGCGTTTCCTCCCTTTTGATCAAGATTCGTCTATGGAATCTTTGATCAAAGTATTCAGTAATGGTAGCTGCAACATCCAGTTCTTCTGGTCTCGTGGGACAGGAGCCTCTGTTCCTGGAGGCAGTTAGCCACACACTCCATGTCCTCCTCCTCTTCCAGACTCTCTTGTTGCTCCAGTTGACTAGAGACCAATTGGTGTGCCTTGGATGACCACTTGCAAGCTTTAAAGGCGCATGTAGTACACAGTGACTCGGAAGGAAGATGGGGCAATCTACTTCC